GCTGGTTCTGGTTCTGGTTCAGCGTCTCGTTTAGTGGTAGGATAGGCTGGTTCTGGTTCAGCGTCACGTTTAATGGTAGGATAGGCTGGTTCTGGTTCTGGTTCAGCGTCTCGTTTAGTGGTAGGATACGCTGGTTCTGGTTCAGCGTCTCGTTTAATGGTCGGATAGGCTGGTTCTGGTTCTGGTTCAGCGTCTCGTTTAATTGGGTGAACGTCACGTTTAATATTAGGCAAGGCCTTGACCATGTAAAGCGCAATTAATAAAATGAATACAAAAACAAAAGTTCGTCTCATGATGTCTGACAATTACTTGGTAAATATCTATTTAAGTTCTTTATGAATATAATAATAATTCACAAATTTTTTTAGAGCAATGAAATTATCGTCTTTATATATATAACAGCACATATATATATATATATATATATTGCTTGAACTTTTTGAAATAAATTTACTAAGAATGATCGACCACATATAGGTTTTCCGCCAAATTCGTAATCATTATACGAGCTCTTATTTGATATATCGTTATCTTGTAACCAATTTTAGTAATTTTAGTACCATCCGAATCGTCTTATTAAGACGATTTACATGAATTCAAGACGATTTACGTGAATAGATAATTGCCCATCACTAGTCGATATATAGCATTTATAGTACTTGAAAAGTTTATTTTGCGCATGGTTTCAAATGAGCGCATCGTCCCCATGGTAACAAACCACAAAGTATAAAAAAAATGAGCAATGTGATAAACTCTTATTATTAATAAACTAGACAACTAGTTAACCAGACAACTAATCATAAATCAATTGTTAATCATGTTGATGACAATAGTCATAAAATTTGACTCAAGTAACGGTTTGAGTCACATTACATGTTGTCACCTTCTGGTTATTATATTATCCAAAAATCTTATATAAAATATACTAGATACAAGAGTTGCATGTAGATGTACTAGTGTTATCCGTTTTAAATTCTATCTTATGTCAAAGATTGTTATCAATATGAAACTAGAAGAGACATCCCTAGATCGATCTGAGTTACATATTTATTTTTGACTAGCATTAAAAATTATTTATACCTGAAAGTTCACGCTAAATTTGTAAACCTATAGTCTAAATTTCTAATTAAAAGGAGATAGGGTTCTTGCCTTGAAAATCACCCACAAAAATTTCCGATCGGATAAACAAACCTGAGTACCGGTTCATCTTTTACCTTTATTGATTCGATAAACTATTGAATCATATTCGGGTTTGTTTTGTCCGATATTTTCAATCGGAAGGTGATTTTCAAGGCCAAGACTCCAGATGATCCTTATTTTGTTAATTACGTATTAATTATTAATTTGTTAGTGCGGTGTAATACTGTAAAAGGTCCGAAAATAATTTTTCACTCTTCGAATGATCGATTTATAACAATACATGAGTGTCTAAAGTATTTTTTAAAAAAGTAATCTCGACAATCATCTCGATATTGGTAGTTTTTTATATGAACCCCACAAAGTAATTATACTATCTAATGTATTTTTGGCATAAAGAATTAAAATAATTTCGCTAAAGATTTCGACAACTATGAAAATTAATTTGCCACTAAGAAAAGAATTTCGACAGACTAAATGTCGAAATAATTTTTTATTAAGAGAAGTAATTTAGACACCCAAGTATATTTATAGCATTTTTTGAAGAATAATTTAGGACATTCTTAAATACGGAAAAATTTTGTTGCATATTATTTTTCTGGATTTTTTTTCGATCGCAGTAGTATCAGGTATTTTATGTATTAAAATAAAATTAATATTAAATATTATTGGGTTTTGTAATTTACCGCTATAACGATGTATCACTACTCTCCGAAAGTAAAATCCCTAAAGTAAAATCCCGAATGTCAAATCTCGGAATTTAATCGCGTTGTATTGATGTTGTAGCGATGTTCCGCGTCGGATAGATTAGTGGAGCAACTAAAATTCAGCAGACCGACTAAAATTTAGGGTCGGAATAGGCCCGGAGCTAGGTCTGCAATAAGTAATAATACAAGTCAACTATATTACAGCAAAATTATCTGGGCAGCTTTACTTAGTACGTAGGCTACCATTTCATTAGTAAAATTTTGGGTGATTTGAGGAGAAATTTATCAACTCCGGCCTATTCCGACCCTAAATTTTGGTCGATCTGCTGAATTTTGGTCGCTCCACTAATCTATCCTTCCGCGTCGTTACGGAAATTATGTCGACCCCGAATTGGCATACCAGGAACGTTAGTGTATGGTTTTACTGGCATCTAAATTGAAGGCAAAATCTTAAAGCTGATTGGTGTACATTTTTTCTCATGATCATTACCTGTTTTATGTAACATAAAATTTCTAAGGTTAAAGCGAAGTGAAATTTAGTTAGGGTTATCTTCTTGATGCAGTTAGTATCAAGAATGAAACGGCTTATGTAGCAGGTAGATCATGTATTAATTAACTCCCACTCTAACCTAACCCAAAAATTTCATGTTTAAAACTTATCCGTAAATTGGTCATAAAATGATTATATCGCAAAAATTCGTTCTTC